ACAAGACCCTTATATAAAAACCAGACTAAATACACTCAGAAACGAAAAAAAAAAACGGATAATTGGTACGAATATTGCTCAAAACGAACATGCACACACACAGACCCGAAAAGTTGGTCTAGTTTAAAATGATTTACTGGAAACAACGCAAGAAACGCTGCATCCCACACTAAAATACAGTAACACCACTGTCAACATAAACATACAAAAAGCAGAAATATTCGGAAAACACGTACAAAAGGACCTGCAATGAACAGATCATTCTACAATAAAGTTAATAATCATATCAAAACAATGGAAATTCTATACTCCCCTAGTGGTCCAACCAGTAAGTAGCAAGAATCAAGAAAACATGACTCAACAACTCATTAAATCAATAACAGTACCGGAAATACAAGACACTGTCAAAATAACAACAAAGGCTCCGGGACACTATTAAATACAATGTATAACTTATCAAAAATGCACACCGAGATTTTACGAACATTTAGCTGCTATATTTAATCTATGCCTAAAGCTTGGACAGCTTGGAAGCTAGCGGACGTTTTAATGTTTCTGAAAGAAGGAAAACCAGAAAGCTATAGACCAATCAACCTAACCAGCTGTGTTGGGAAACTACTAAAAGGATAATCAGTTCAAGACTTTGGCATTTCTCGAACTGACATCAAAATTATCGGAAAAACAAAATGGATTTAGGAAAAAGAAGACAAACAACAAAGGCCATCTAGTAAGGCTTACAAAAACCATAGTAGACACAACAAACCATCTGGTAAGGTCCACTGTAAGAACCGAAATGAATTCACTAAACGGACTAAATTATCGATTGACACAAATCGAACTACAGCTCTCCAACTTTCTAGACAACTGGAAAGCTCGAATTAATGTGTCGGGCACCTTCTTTACCCCAGAGGCGGGTGTCCCGCAAAGAGAGGTCTATACATCATGAATGTCACTGTCTGATTCAAATTTCTGCTTCTGCTCCCAGTTTGCAGACGATGTGGTCATATGGAATAGCTCCTATAATCTAGCGATAGCAGCGACAACCACGGTGAAATGAAATAGAAAACCAAATCTCTAACAAATGGAGAATCAAGTTAAACACCACAAATCAAATTATTCACAAAATCAAACAAGAAGAACAGCCCCCAAAATTATACCTTTATATAACTCTTCTCCAGGTAGCCACATCAGTCAATCTACTGGGTCTAGAATCAAGTTAAACACCACAAATCAAATTATTCACAAAATCAAACAAGAAGAGCCCCCAAAATTATACCTTTATATAACTCTTCTCCAGGTAGCCACATCAGTTAATCTACTGGGTCTACCCTACAATTTTTTAAACTAAATTGGACTAAACACATAAATGAAATTATAAACAAGATCTGGCAAAAAGCTAATTATGTACGACAATGACTGGCTACAACCGAAAATAGATTGTCTACCCAGCATGGTTAAATGTAACCAAATCACACTTAAACAAACTCCAAACAATACAAAATTCAATAATCTCTAGAGCTCCTGGATACACGAACACAAAATTCTTGCATAATTAAGTAAACATCCACATGTTGTTAGACATACTTTAAAATAGATCAATAGATTACTTTCACAAAATTCTTGCATAATTAAGTAAACATCCACGTGTTGTTAGACATACTTTAAAAAAGATCAATAGATTACTTTCACAAAATTCTTGCATAATTAAGTAAACATCCACGTGTTGTTAGACATACTTTAAAAAAGATCAATAGATTACTTTCACAAAATTCTTGCATAATTAAGTAAACATCCACGTGTTGTTAGACATACTTTAAAAAAGATCAATAGATTACTTTCACAAAATTCTTAACAAAAATGAATCATTACGAACGTTGAAAAACGTTAATGTACATGATGATGATAAACATAAGTACATCCCATCTAGTAAACTCTTAATGTAATCTGTGGGTAGCTACATATAGTGTTAATTTGATTTTAAAAGGTTTATTTATATGAAAGTTTATATTAGAAAAATCGACGTTATAAATTCACGGACATGGCCTGAAAAAGGTCAGTCGCGCGTGACTGGACCGTATTCTACTGAAAAATTAATATGGACTTCATCCAACACTCAAGAACCAAATCAACAGTCAAGGATGGAGGTTCAGGTGTATATGATCCTCCCAGGTCACGTGACCAAATGGGTCCAATGAAAGGAGAGTTTATAGCTTCAGAACGATATAAACAACGTTACGATAATTGATGATGGAATTGTTTAAATCTCTGAAGTTCCAATGGTGTTCCATATTGGAAATATTAAAGGTTAAGAAGTGGATGTTTGTAGGGAATTCTAAATTAATGATTCATTCAATTTTCCTCTTATTGACTGTTTTTTTTTTTGTTTTTGTTCGAGTCGCGTTACGAGTGTGGCTCTGTGTTCGCGTGTCGAACTACAGATCTGCGGGTCCATCGCTCGAGTCGCGTTAACACAAAATAAAACTTATTGTGAAAAAAGATCGCACTTTGGGGGCTACGAGTGCGTTATAAGGGTGACGGTCAAATCCCAACTATTCGGAAAGACAAGTTGGTGGTGGGCTCTGTTGATTTGTGGCTCCGTCTAGTTTATTAATTTAATATAAGGGAAGAATAACGCTTTTCGCGAATATTGGAACACAAGCAATCAATGTTGTGTATAATGACGTATATTGTAAAACAGCCACTAACACTGTGGTGTATAATGACGTATATTGTAAAACGGTACTAACACTGTGGTGTATAATGACGTATATTGTAAAACGGCACTAACACTGTGGTGTATAATGACATATATTGTAAAACGCCACTAACACTGCGAAGCCTGGTTGTTAGCGTATGACTAGCAGTCTGCGGGTCACGGGATCGAAACCCATCATCGAATATACACTATGAGCCGTGAAGGCTTTATAATTTGTCGGTGAATATTATTGTTCGTTGGTAAAGAGTAGTCCAAGGGTTGGCAGTGGGCGATGTTGACTAGTTGTTTGTTCTCTAGTTAAGTGGTACTCAAACTTTTTCGTCTGCGGATGCGTTGTGGTAATTTGTACACCAATTCTAAAACTTGAAATTAATTTATGGCTGAAACACGTTGCACATCTGGTTGTGCTAAACTATTTCACACAAAACCGGCCCCTAATTACAGTCACGTGGTGCTAAGTCTACTTTATATTATGTCTGTGTGTCGACCGCATCCCTTGTGTGCTGCGCGCCACTGCCGATGTGGCCTTTCACTCAATACCACAGTTCATTAGGTCGGCTGTGAATGTAACACCAAAAGTCTCGGTCGTACGCCAGTTATATCAATAATATGCCAGTTGTTTTGTTATATCTTATCTATTGACTGTTACTTTGTGATATTACTTCACAGTAAGACATTACAATTTTTTAGATATATCTTTCTAGCATATAATGCGAATTTTAGTAAAAACATAATAGTATCTCGAACACACCCACACCTTTAGGCCGGGTCTGGTGGTTATGGCGCTCAACTCGTAATCTGAGGGTCGCAGGTTCAAATCCCTGTCACACCGAGCGTGCAGTGGACAGAGCACAGATAGCCTATTGTGTATCTGTAAGCTTAGAAAACAACAACTTGTTAGTCTTAAAAAACGCGCGAGTATAACCGGTTAGAAAATTTCAGGAAAAACTATCGTCTGCAGCTGTTAACTTTTAGTCCTGTGAATGTGCACATGTACGATAACCGCGTAGCTGCTAAATATCTATGTAGATTCAGAATAGATGTACTTAGTTTACAAAAATATTGTAGTAGAACGAGGCAGAAAAGGAAGAGCTGGAAAACCAGGTTATTCACTGCAATTAACAACTTCTGGATTTGTTAAATCAAATTTAAACAAATCATCTGCCATATGATGATATTTTAAAGAACATATTGGTAAGCACACACCTGAGATAAAAGGAGGGACAGTGACCTTTTAAACAATAACAAATGTCATACATCGGTAAGTACACATCCGGTTTAAAAGGTCACTGTCCCTCCTTTTATCCATGACATTTGTTACTTGTGTGCTTACTGATGTCAGAGTTTAAAAGGTCACTGTCCCTCCTTTTATCCAATAACAAATGTCATACATCGGTAAGCACACATCTGGGATATAAGGAGGGACAGTGACCTATTAAACAATAACAAATGTTATATTTCACCTTTACTTTCGTCAATTGTTTTCAACATGATACTATTTTTAATATTTCAGTTTAGTCGTTTGTTTGCTAGAGGAACCTAATCATGATGATTTAATTATCTAGAAGTTTCCTATAGTAGGTGGAAAACGATATGAATACCTGAGTGAATGAAGACTTCTGTAAATAAAAGAGATTGATTTTCAGTTCAGTGTTAGTAGTGAGTGAATTTTTTAGCGGTAGATTAGTGAACAAATTCTGCACAGTTAAAAGTTATTTGTGAGTTAGACGTATGTACCATGTGTTCGAAAAAAAAATCGTTATCATTATGTAGACTGTTCTTGGCATTAGTTTACTGAATAATCCAAAATAATTCGCCCAACGGTAGAACACATTACAACAACACGTTAGATAGGTGAGGTGCCCGTCTACTCTCAATTTTTTTTTTATCCAGTTAATGTCGGCACGTGTGTAGATGATCCAGCTAATATCGACACATGTGTATATGATCCAGTTAATATCGGCACGTGTGTAGATTTCTGTATCAAACTATTGCAAGTTCGTAATGAGTTACTTAGTTCAGTGAAGTCTTCAGACGATTTCCTTATCAACCTGTCTTAAGGAAAAATAGGACACCTCTGCTTTAGATCTAAAGAGATATAGCATGCTTACTAAAAATGTATGTCGTTGTCATGAAACAGTTAATATTAATAATAGTAGTGTTTTATTGTCTAATAATCAACGTATAGATCCAAATTTTCATTATTTCCTCCAGCAAAATAAATAAATCGTTGGCTGCAAATCTGTTTTAAAACAATGTCCATTTAAAGATTCCTTTTTTCTAGACAACATCATGGCCACTCACGAGCAGACACTTGAACGAGACCTTGGTCGTCTCAACATCGTTAACTACACTCCTCAACAATACTCGGCTACAAGGGGTAAGAAGATTGCCCCTGTTGTTCCTCCGAAGCCAAAGAAGAAACCTGTAATTCCAGAACCCACATACAACAACTTTCAACAGAATATTTATCCATTGGAAACTGAAGAATATACACAGGTTAAATACCCAGATATGCAGGAGAAAACCTATCAATTAATTCAGGAGCCAAAGTTTCCAGAAACACACGAAAAAAATTCTGCATCGTCTCAGGAGATGAAATATCCTTGTTTCTTAGAGAGAAGCTATCCAACAATTGTTCCCTGTACACAGGATAAAAGTTACACAGCAGTCCAGGACATCAAGTATCCTGGTGTGACCCAGGACCTAACTGTTCAGGACGTTGGTATACAAGAAAACTGTGAGAAACCACAAATAAGTTTTATTAATACTGTCTCAAGTATCCAACAGAATCCAACACCACCAAGTGGTAAGATAATTTGGAATTTTTCTTTTTAATATTAGATGTAGTTTGTTAGTTCTTTGTTATTTTGAAAGTACATCCAAATAATCAACATGTATATCTCTAATAACAGTAGTGTTACTTGTAGGTTCATCCCTCAGTTGGTCGGCAATAAGCTTAAGATACCATTAAATTCTAGGGTTTGATTTCCCACAGTGGGCAGAGTGCAGATAGCTGAGTGTGTATCTTTGCACTGGAAGAACAACCAATAAAGTTACAAGTTATTGTATAACACTTGTTGCATTTCTTTGTTTTTCAATAAATTCCCCTACTTATTTTTTTCTCACTCAATTTTTGAAGACATTTGTATTACCTTTGATAGCATACTTTTTGTCCCATTAATACCAAGTATTTCAAGGTCTGTTAAATAAAAACTTCTCATTAATGTGAAAGTATTTCAAGAACAAACATACATGTGAATATTCTTCAGGTATTATAACCAATATCACTGAAGAATGTTCATAATTACCTCTAGGTAATGTGCTCAGTAACTGAGGTAATTACGTACGTTAACCACGTTAACCAGTTGCTGAGCACATTACCCTAAAAGTAATTACCTCTAGGGTAATGTGCTCAGCAACTGGTTAACGTACGTAATTACCTCTAGGGTAACGTGCTCAGCAACTGGTTAACGTACGTAATTACCTCTAGGGTAATGTGCTCAGCAACTGGTTAACGTACGTAATTACCTCTAGGGTAATGTGCTCAGCAACTGGTTAACGTACGTAATTACCTCTAGGGTAATGTGCTCAGCAACTGGTTAACGTAAGTAATTACCTCTAGGGTAACGTGCTCAGCAACTGGTTAACGTACGTAATTACCTCTTGGGTAATGTGCTCAGCAACTGGTTAACTCGCGTAATTACCCCTAGGGTAATGTGCTCAGCAACTGGTTAACTCGCGTAATTACCCCTAGGGTAATGTGCTCAGCAACTGGTTAACTCGCATAATTACCTCTAGGGTAAT